TCTGGCCTCGGTTGCTATTTTTCTCGTCACTTTTGTGTTTAAAGCCCGGACCACACTCGCATTTTTCGGCTGTCGCGCAGGACTTCTCATGACACTCTGTGAGGACTCCAGATAGCAGGCACAAAGCCCAAGATTTTAGTGAGCCACACTGCACTGCACGATGTTTTCTTGCTCTTGCAGGACATGCTAACATCATGAGCACGTCCCCCGAGAAGCATACATCACTAAAAGCCGACAGCTGACTGAAACAACAATGCTGAAAAGAGAAAAAGGCGCTGCTGTTAACACTTCTTTTATTCGACTCCGAACAAAACTCCAAAAAGTAGCGGTCCGAATGAGCATGTGGCTTCCACTGCTGCTAATGCGACTCTCGTCACTAGTTGTTCACGTCACTCCCTGGGTGTATTTTCATCACTCAATTACAGACCGGAATCTGATTTTGGTCGCGCGAGTGCTCAATAAGCTGTCGCAGAGCCGCTTGCACTGGATGGCCACAGACTTGCAAATCACCCTCACGTTCACCGTGAGAGCTTTGTCTAGGACGGACGAAAAACGCAGTGTGGTCTGTGCTTTAGCTGCTCTTGTTTCGTTTATCTACACTCTCTGTGATACTGTAGAGTAATGGCTGTACTGAAGATAGGAAGATGAACTTTTTATAAAAGTACTCTTGTATTTCTCGCCTAATCTAATACTGTATGTTCCGATCACTGGTCGCTTGTCGTGTGTACAATTCTGAAGATTGAGAAGCCTTCTAACAACACATATGTACTGTTGACCAGTACTTTTAGATATTAATGTTGCGTATTTTTCAGAACCCCTTAAACAAGCAGTTTTCTTTGCTGTGACACTTAGCTGAAGTTGGTGTACAGCAGTCTTTGTAGTACAAGTTGGGGGCCTTGGTCTTTAGGATGCGCACACATGCCGTTGGTCCAGCTAGGTCTACTGTTGCGCTGAAACGCTTCAGTCAGTAAATAACCTTTTAAAAGCCTTTATTTTTCACTCTTTTTTGTTTATTTGTTGTGTCCTTACATATTTAACAGTTTCTCCTTCATCACGTTGTGTACGTAGCCATGGTGCTTCAGTGTCTTTGTATTTTGTTGCACTTTCATCCACAGTTTTCTGTATTTGAGTTGCTAATATTTTCCATATGGTCCTTAATTTTTAAGACTTTGGTTTAATCAGATGGTCGAGGGTTACCAAGGGATCAATCCTTTAGTAATCTCCACTGCCCAATAAACCATTTTTAGCAAAGAACGAGTGTTTACTTTTCCTTTTCTCTAATCTTTTCAGTTGTTTCCCCACATTAAACACAACAAAGGCTTTTAAATTCATAGCATGATCTTAAAGTTTTCTAGTAAATGTTAAGCGACAGCTCTGAGTTGGATTTATGTTACGAACCGGCTGATGAGACGTCATCTCTCTGTGATGTTGCTGTAACGGTTTATGTTTGACAATTTAATAAGTCCGGGTCTTTTTATGTCATTGTAACCAACCCGCTCCCCCTCATCCAGCCGGGCCACTCTTCAGAATTACATTTGTCCGATTTCACAAGCACTGCCTGAATATGTGACCTCCCAGTTGTTCGATCAGCTGTCCATTGAATGAGACGGGCCTTCTGGTGACCCCAATCAGACCTGAGCGCACTCTGTGTATAGGAAGAGCCGCAGCTGGCTCCCAGATGCAGCACGAGCAGAACACGGAGGGTTAAATCCAAACAAAGAAGCGCTGTAAGGAATACCCTGGATTCTAAGCTGTAATAAAGAAACCTGCCAACAACAAATCTTTTGAATGTTTTACAAGATCTGGAGTTCTTAAATAAGCTGGGACCTCATCAGGACATCAAAGCAAGGGCTGTTGTTTTCAGGCAGTAGAAGATCGGGTGATTTCTTGGAGATTGCGTTATGATTTCTGTTGTCCTTTCAGCCGTCGAGACGTGATCTGCGTGATCTCTGGGTAATGCAGGTGTCTGTTTCTGAGAGTATCCAAAACCTCTTGATCTTATCTTAGCTGCAGCATGCGCGGTCTAATTTAGTTCTGGGTCGATTTTCAGCTTGTTTTGCCTGATAATCAGATTTTGCTGTGAACACCCCCCCTCGAGGTGTGTTACTACTTGGCACCTTGTCAGACAAGAAAGCTGCAACATCCTGTTCTAACAACAGTTAGACACCCCCGCCACCCGACACACACGCCATCTTGAAAAGCTGCTGTAAAGAAAAAAAGTTATTTTAAACCAGCATTTTCATTTAATTCCATTGCCTCAGATGCCAAATCCTCTTCTTTCTTACTTGATTTATGTTTTGGGGCAACGAAGGATCAGAGGTTAGGAGGTTGCCATGTAATTCCAACACATTCTCACACCCAAAGCGTCAGAAAATGACGCGTGTGACCAAGCGTCAAAGTATGACTATCAGGGTGCCCCAGCGCGTCGGGAGAGGACGCGCTTTGCCAGAGCGTCGGTATCCGACGCCCGCAGTGAGACGGACTTTTGACCGACTTGTGAACTGCTTAACCTTCCCCTCACCCCCATTCTAACCTTAACCAGCTTGCGAATGCAAAGCTTAATTGAAAATCACTGAGTTAAGGTTATGATGGGGGTGAGGGGAAGGTTAAATCGCTAGAGGTTCGAGGAACAATGTCCGTGTCACCACGGGTGTCGGATACTAACGCCCGTGGTGACACGTGTCCCTGCGCGTCCTCTCCCGACACGCTGGGGCACCCTGATCGTCGTATTTTGACGCTTGATCACACGCGTCATTGTTGCAACGTAATGTTTCTGTTCATGTCATGCCCTTGGGCAAGGTACTTCACCCTTGTTGCCTGCTGGTGATGGTCAGAGGGACTAGTGGTACCTGAGTACACCAGCCTTGCTTCTGTCAGTGTGCCCCAGGGAAGCCATGACTACATTGTAGCTCATCACCACCATGGTCATATATGTGGTAATGACTGAAATGCAAGTTATTTATATCACACATTTCATGCACAGAAGCAAATCTGTGTGCTTTCCGGGTGCACGATCAGCAGTAGCATAAAACATTAAAATAAACATGACAACATAAAACAGCACATTGTAAAATCAAATTTAAAAATACACAAAATTATGTAAGAAATAAAACAAAAAGGCTAAGTTACATTGCAAAAGTTAAGAAATAAACACTCATTCAAAGGCAGATGACGACATGAAAGTTTTCAATTTTGATCTCAAAGTTAGGCTAGAGTTGGCGTGCAATTGAGATCATAAGGAAGCAGATTCCATCTGTGTGAAGCATAGTCTCTAAAAGCAGTCAGTCGGTTTGATTCTGACCCGAGGTTCTAACCAGCTGACTGCTTCCTAAGGATCTCAGAGCCCTGCTGGGCGTATATACTGCAAGGAAAACTGATATGTATTTAGGCTAAATGCAATTGAGTGATTTATAGACTAGTAGTAGCACTTTGAAATTGATTCTGTAGTTTACTGGTAACCAGTGTAGAGATTTAAGAACAGGAGTGATGTGCTCAATTCTCTTGCGTCTGGTTAAGACTAGCAGCAGCATTCTGAATAAGCTGCAGTTGCTTTAAAGCATTTTTGGGAATACCAATCAAAAGACCCTGCTGGAAATGAGTTTCCATGAATGGGTTTCTCTAGGTCCTGTCTGGACTTGAGAAAGAACTCTGAAATGAGCTGAAAACAAAGATTGTTCACCATCATGGTTTAGTGGAAGGATATAGAGAGCTGTCTCAGATTTCAGCTGTCTGTTTCCACAGTTAGGTGCATATTGAGGAAATGGACCAAAGGCACAGTTCAAGTTAAGGCTCCAAGTGGCAGATCCAAAAAACTCTTGGATAAGCAGAAGCAAAGAATGGTGAGAACAGTCCGAGTCAACCCACAGACCAGCACCAAAGACCCACATCATTCAACTATTCAGTCCACTTTACACAAGGAGATGCTGCATGTGAGAGTGATGCAGAGGAAGCCATTTCTCCCCCCACAGCACAAACAGCTGCCTGAGGTATGATTAAGCACATTTGGACAAGCCATCTTCATTTTGGAATAAGGTGCTATGGAAGGATGAAGCTAAAATCGAGTTATTTGGGCATAACAAGGGACGTTATGCATGGAGGAACAAGAACACAGCATTTTAAGTAAAACACCTGCTACCTTCAGTAAAACACGGTGGTGGTTCCATTATGCTGTGGGGCTGGGAATCTTGTTAAAGTTGAGGGACGCATGGATTTCACTCAATAGCAGCAGATTCTGGAGACCAATGTCCAGGAACCAGTGACAAAGCTGAAGCTGCACCGGGGCTGGATCTTTCAACAAGACAACGACCCTAAACAGTGCTCAAAATCTACTAAGGCATTCATTCAGAGGAACAAGTAAAACATTCTGGAACGGCCATCTCAGTCCTCAAACCTGAATATTATTGAAAATCTTTGGTGTGATTTATGCTCATAAGCCATCAAACCTGAATGAACTAGTGAGGTTTTGTAAAGAAGAATGGTCCAAGTGACCTTCACCCAGAATCCAATCTCTCGTTGGAAGCTATAGGAATCGTTTGTGGTGCCCAAATTCACGCACCTACCTAATTTTGTAATTATTGCACACTTTCTGTAAATCCTATCAACTGTGTTTCACTTCTCAAATATAATTGTGCATATCTCCAATATGATATATTTAACAGAATTTTTCTATCATGACAACCAACGATTTGTAGAGGAAAATCATGAGGATTAACATGCATCCCGCTGTATTTCAATAACATTTTGTACAATCTGTTGTCCTCCAAATCTTTTCATACAAAACCTAAAGTAACCTTTGCTGCCTATTGAAAATAAACTCTTTCATATCATCAAACTGTTTCTTTAAAATTGGTGGACATCATATGTTAAATTCATGGCACATATCAAACAGGTTCAGAAGATAACTTATCAATCCATAGACTCTCATTCATTTTTTTAGCACAAGGGGACCCATTGACCAGAAGTGGATGGGCATGACTTAGGCTTCCTATTAAATTAGCGAC